TGCAAAGTGGTCCAGCCACATTAATAATATTACCATTTAATTAGGTTAATTTATCACTCTGCTTTATTTGTCTACTGCTCAATGCTCCACAGGTTGGTTTAGGGGCTGCAGGCAGTTTTCCTATCTCCTCTCATTGTTTGCATAAATGGTTGTGGAAATAAATGCTTTGAATGACAATTGTGATGACTAGAAGCAATCTAAAGCTCTAAATCTTCCCTGGGCTCATCACAGAGTCCTCTAATGCATGGAATGTATTATGAAATCTCTTCAGCTGAATCATCTATGAAGGGCTCTCATCATGACAGACGCACAAAAAACATGTCAATATGTGTTTTATGGGCATACAGGATATGGCTGTGACATCAGATAAGCTGAATGAATTAGTAATATCCATATGCATATACACAATTACACAGCATACAATAACTGCAAGGATTTAATTAACCAATAGCCAGAGTGCTGTTGTGTTGAATATCATCTTCATATGCCCATCATTATTCAACAGTTCAATAAGCAAGAAGTTAATTTTGAGTAATGTACATTTTAGTCACAAAATGGCAGATTACTTTGTCTGTTTTTGCTCTGGTAAGGAAAATACATATTTAATTTCCAAATAAATTAGCATTCACATTTTTATCAGTGCATACATTCCCTGGGAATTGAACCCATAACCTTAGTATTAATAAAAGCCAAACTCTACTATTTGAGCTACAGCAGCCCAAATGAGCATTTAAATGAAGCCACAGTCGTTGTTTGTTGTGACTGAACTAGACTTTGATGATACAATACTGTCAAGGGCAGCATCATGGCTCAGTGGGTAGTGTCATTCCTTCACAGCATGACGGTTGCTGGTTTGAGTCCTGGCTGTGTCAGAAGATATAGAGCAGGGGTTTAATGAATGAAAGATACAGAATGTACCGCATGTTAGCTTATGTATTGTGCCCAAAAGCATGATCTACGTAAGTCCACGTCATACTAAGAGGAAACGTCTCAGGTTACTTATGTAACCATGGTTCCCTGAGTGGCTGAGGGAGCAACACACCCAGTTCTCAATCTGAGAAGGGGGCTCAGCCTGCAGCATGTTCCAAAGCTGGAACAGCTTGCAATAATTTACTTAGCTGTGGGAGCAACACACTTAGTTCTCAATCCGAGAAGGGGGCTCGACCAACAGCATGTTCCAATGCTGGAACGGCTAGCAGTAGTTTACCTAGGCTGAGGGAGCACAAACGCAACTCTCCCAAGAGGGGGCTCGACCTGCAGCATGATTGTAAAATCAGAAGGGTAAGCATACTAC